GACAGACCCGGCGCACTCAGGTGGCTTATAATACTAGGATCCTGAATTCGTGTCTCCGATTTCGATTTCTAGAGACTGCATTGTACGCAAGTACGACCAAGTCGTCTGAGGGAATATCACGGGTCGGAAGAAGGGGTAAAGGGATAGGGTTGGGTACGGAAGACAGAGTTAAACAAAGGTTGGGATATTTGAGCAGTAGCCCACTTATCACTACCCACCCCGCTCGACGCAATGGGCAGCGCGGTCCTGATAATCCTGCGCGACGACCGATGCAGTGTAAATTTTTTTTTGTCTGTGTGTTCACTGGAGCTTTATGGACGGGTACTGCCAGGGTGTCCAGTCACTAAGCAGGAGAACGATTAGGGTTCTCAACCAAAGCTTTTAGTTCAGACAAAAACCTAACCGCAAGGCAGTGGTTAAGGCTGATTGGAGGCCCATTCGCCTGGGTCAATTATTCCTCCAACACGTTTTATCGACTGAGACGCCGACTCAGGTGGAACCCCCAACCTGGAGGAACAGGAGACTGGACTTCGTCTGACCTCTACCCACTGACCTTCCAGGCATGATTAGATCTTTGGCTGGGTAAAAGCTATCCTGTGTAGCTCGTTGGGTCGTAGAGGTGCACAAGGCATCACACCACACATCATGTCTCGTCGTAATGGTAGCTTACTGCTATATGATCAATTTGGATCAACTTTCCCGATGAACTGGAACATCATATAACCGTTCCACGAGAGTTGTGTCCAAACTTGGTGCTAGATAAGAACCGGTGATTTGCGCAGAACTGAACAGTTCGATCGCTGTTGTCTGTTTGCTGGGCGGGCGGAGCGAAGTGCCTTCGAGACAGGCTTCGGATACGCTCAATTTTCCAACCGCAACGTTAAAATCGCCTGCCAGCACTATAATATCAGAGCTGCGGCCCAGCTGAATAAGTTCGGCGAGTTTGTCCTAAAATTCATCCTTTTGTGAATTGGGATTGCATTTGGTTTTTGCATATGCTTACTTAATGAACGGGCACCTTTTGATGGTGCTGCACTTTCGAACACTAACTGAAACCTGGAGCCTGGTTGCGCACAAACGACTATTGACGGGTATCCATTCTATTAGTGAGGACTGAGCTTAATCGTTTAGTACCATTCCGACTCCACACTGACCCAGTGAACGGGCTTCGTCGTCTCCTGGTGTGCGAAGAAAATACCTAGACATCTTTTACAACCAATAACCGTACACTTCAGTGCAAGGGTCATTCGATGGTCCATTTGGATGGAGTACCTCGGGATGATCGTAACCGATGGTTAGGGACATTAAGTGCTATGGCTGGGTGTTGCATCCAGTGGCGTTCGTGCATCTTCTCAATCTCTTTGCAACAGACCACTGAACTTCTCGATTTTCTGTTCGACTCCACTTTCAACTTTCCTTTCTTCTATTCTTCATGCAAATGGGCAGTCAGAAGACAGTAACCAAAACCGGCGCACGAATATGCGTGGTTAATGGTTGTAGAAACTGAACTGAACTGAACAGGAAAGAATCCAATGTTCAACTTAGTGTCGGGGTGAAAGTAATGAGTTCATGAAGACTAAGGTCGCTATGAGACTGAGTAAACGCACGAGCTCCAATGTTTGCGGCACCCAGCAATATCTCAGGCGGTTGTCTTCGAAATCCTCAGTATGGTCGGGGGTGGGTGTCTTGGGTTACAACTAGTCACTCTTCCCTTGCTCCCAGTGAAATGCTCCTATGAGACCAAGCGTCTCGAACAGCCCTTGCTGAAGAGGCCCTATCCATTGTCTTACCGTGGTGAAGGTATTTTCCCACCAAATTAATAAGACGAAAAACGAACATCTGGAGCCATAACCGGGGAGTTGGCTAAAAATCTGAATTCCAAAGTAACGAAGAATGGGCTTACGAACCACACAAATATACACCTTCCTTTTGTGGCAGTGGTCATCGGCTCGATTGATCATCGAGGTGTGTTGGGCACCTTGGACATTTGACCCCGTCCAAACGTGTGAATAAAAAATGACCCCGTCCGAGGGGCGTATGATCCGGTGAACTGGACACTGGCTCTCAATAAATTGGGGTTTTCGCCCACCAACCCACTCCCCACTGCCTTGTGGGTTAGGCTAGGCGAAGGCTCCGGTTGTGGATTCCACAAGGAAGTTCACCTGCCTTGGCATGTCAACCTGGCAGTATCGCGTCTACAAACAAATCGTGGAGCTTTCTCTCTTGTATAAAGATTACTGTACTTTGATTTGTTGGGCACAGTTTGGATTCAGAGATGTGAAATACAATTGTGGGTCATGGAGGTAGGCAAACCATCACACTACTTTCAGGTAAAATCTCGTCATGATGGTCCAGGAGACAATGCCGTAAACGGTTTTTGCAGCATCGTTGACATGACAGATCTGATTCTAGTTTTGATTTCAGACCTTAGAATCTCTCCTAGGGACAGCTCCATCCTTTGCAGTCTTGTGCGAACGTAATTAGTCCTCTTTGCCACTGGTTTGCACGGAATCTAAACACCACAGATTCGAACTCTGCTATCACCATCCAACTTCGGTTTTCGGCCTCCTCTGTCCCTCACATCAGTACCACGTATATCGTATATCTTTGTGTGGTTCAGCTCCTCCACGGTTTAGGCTGCTCCCACAACTAATCAGATCACAGGTCCTCACGACACTGGTTCATCCTTCTTTCGTCACACAGCTATGTATCCCGAAAATCCTTATGTGAGCTCCATTCGTGTACGTGCTGTAATTTTTTAATCATTTTCATAGAGATCCCTCCTTTACACGTCACATTTCCTCCACATTTTCAGATCCTTTTAATGATATGGTCACTGCGGTGGAGCCAAACATGGTTGGAGTACTACGCAGACTTCATCTCCACCCTATGGATGCTGCTCTGAATGAATTTACCTCTCAGGGACCACTTGCACAGCTCAAGTTCGTAAGTATCACCTAATTCTTTGTTCAAACATTATTCATTCAGGATCCCCATACTTTTTTATTCCAACACCACAAACAAAAAGACGGCCGATCTCATACCGGGTCTAACTTGAAACGACCCATCCCACAATCTGTGCACACAGATCCCCCAAATAAAAAAAGTAAGTTGTTTTACATTACTTCCTAAGACAACGAAACTTTTATCAAAATTCCATTGTTCTATATGTTTTGGAGTGTTCGTTTACTAAGTTCTGCTCGAAGAATAAAAAAGATTATGCAATTTCGGTTGCCGAGGAAGTTCTGAGTAATAAAGTCCCCGCCGAATTTTTCACTGGGGCACCTCTTTTGTAGCTGACCACTAAGCCACACTGTCTAATTTTCCTAATGTCGATAACTGCAATGAAATAAATTTGCGTCGTCCATTGTCATTGAGGACTAAAGCTCAGTTACTAAAACTGGTAAACAACTTTCGACATTCAGTGGGTTATTGGTTGTTCACATCAAGCTAAATCGAATAATACAACATAGACAAGCTCTGTCAGTGGATTCGTACTATCATTTTATTCATGTTAGAGACTTAATTTGATAGTCGACGAGGACCAGTTCAGTTCAGTCCAGTTTCTACAACATTAACCGTGCACTTTCGTGTGCCAGTTTTGCTTTTTGACGAAGACCACTGAACATCGTTATTGTTGGAGCTCATCGACAGTCTTTCTATTACACAAATTTTGTCTAATGAATAGCAAACCGGGTGAAATCCGTAGTCACGATAACCTGCCGTTCAGTGATGAAAACCGGCAACCCAAGCCTTGGGACCTGGAGTAGTGAACCGCATGAGGCCCCACTAGTTTAGGTGTAGTATTGAACCGGACGACAACAAAGCTGCACATCGAAGTTGGGTAGCAGCGGCACGGTTCGAACCTCTGATCATAGGGTCCAAAGCGCGCAAGTGACATCAACTAAACCACGGCACCACCACCAGTGCGTACGTTTTGTAGTTCGTGCGATCCGAGCCACTCAACCTGAGGTTTGTGGTGCTAGTTTTGCTAGCGTTACAAGGTGTTCACGTTGCTGATCCGTCCCAACAGGGATAAAATAAATCTAGTGCTCTTTGTCGACCATAACACAAGATTCCTACCACCAGTGAAATACATTCTACATGTAGTGAGCAATCGAATTTTCATGGCAAAGAAATCAATTTCAAATGGGAATTCGTTGTGTCTATGGCAAATGAAGCGTGAACTGAAAAGCTAGGAGGCACTGGACAGCTGTTTCGACCTGGTTGGGTCTCATCAGCAGTGCGAACCCATCGACCCAAGTGGGGATCGAACCCGGGACTTCATGGACAGAACGCAAGCATGCTACCCATTACGCCATCGAGCGGCTGATCAGACCGTTTTCCATTTACACGATATAGCACAATCCATCTTTGCGAGCTTGTTGCAGGGCACAGACCATGCTCATCTCAGCACCAGCTTCCAGGGTTGACTCGGTTGGAAACATTCACAATTCGTGGTTTTTTCATGAGCTCAATCCTGTCACGATGCCCAGCCCAAAGCAACCGATTTTCTTAGGGACTCATAACCGACAATTTTCTTCAGCCAATGTCTTACACGTAATGCAGCGGGGTTGTTTGAGAACTGCAGTCCATTAGGTGCCGGTGTCCAGTCAGTTGGTTTTTGAAACCTTGAGAGGCATTTCGCATTTCCAGAGTGCCTAGTTAAGTCAGTGCCATTCGCCGAGCCATTTGGTACACCCTCGTAGGTGCTTGGAAATCAGAATTTTCATCTCCCTCCAGAAGAGCTGAGTCTCCGCGGCTGTAACTTCGCATAAACTGTTTTTTTTTTCACGCCCACCACGAAGCGGAGATTAAGACTTTCACAACACATGCTTCAAGGGACGCATGATACCAAGAAACCTCGCACAACCTTGGAAACTGGGAATTTTCTAAATCCAGTGCAATCATAACAAAAGACTGAATAATTTCCTTTTTATTTTGTGCTAACTTCTACTTTTCTTATCATTTTAGACCGTCGATTGACCAGGCTTGCATTTCGACACACACACCAATCGGTGCCTTGTATGAATCGGCGGGGAAAAGCTGATCCCGTTCTCTCAGAGAAGCACATGTCAAATACTTTAGACATAAACAGTTCACCCTTGATGTCAGTGTGCTCCCCTTCAGATTATTTACTTCCTCCTACCTTATCCACTCCAACTCCACTTTTGGGGAGGCGTAGTCCCTCCCATGGAACTCCAAGCTGGCTCTCCTACCCACCCACTCTTTCTAACCCAAAAACTTCAGTTGTTTCAAGTCATCAGCCTGTACATGTAGATTGTAGACACACCAACATTGAACCTATTTTGTCTACCGCTGCTTCTCTGCTCCAACTGCGTACGCCCTTAACACGAACCGAGGTGTCTCAGTCCCAAATTACTCCTGTTCAGCTTGGACACTCAAGAAGACGAACGCCGTCATCTACATCCATGGGAGAGAATTTGTCTGAGGCCAGCGAGTCGACTGCTTCCATGCCAAATGTCACTAATGCACTTCGTCCATCGGATGTTCCAAAAAGACAGTCATCTTTACACCGACCAGAGTCCGCCACTACGGACACTTGTGGTCCACAGGTGCGCCTGCGATCTGCGAGTCGTCCTAAAAATGCGCCAACTACTTCAGACAATCGGCAGCCAACGCCACACCAACCATTGATTGTTAAATTACGGCCCGATTCCCCAACATCCTCTGCCAGGAAAGTCAAAAGGCGTCGTTCGTTCGAGCAACTCACGGAACCGTCAATTCATGGCTCG